CCACAGAGCAGAGGCTGACATCTGGCGATAGGAGATTGAGATCTATTGACAATGCGCTGAAGCTGTCTTTAACTGTACACATAGTTCAAGACTGCTCAACAGCAGTCACAAAGGTAAATGTTAACACATTTGAAATATGTGTTTTGCTACTTCCACAAGAAAACTTAATATAAATGGATACCTGCTTTTTATCTGGGCTTTTAATGTCTCTTCATGTCTCTCCAGCAGGGCTCCACCATATATCCTTCGCCAGTCATTATTGCCATATGAGCCTTCACAGAAGTCAAACTCCGTCACACAGCACTGCTATAGAGCTCCTCTGTCACTGATGAAATTTTTAGCAGAATGGGCTGTTACCCAGTGTCTGTGGCTTTGTTTCGCCCTGGCTAAAGGAAGCACAGTAACTTCATCGCTGTTACTGCTTCATGAATCCACTTCTTCTTCAGTTTGGAGCAAAAACACCTGTTTTTTTCATCAGCTTAGTGGCAAAAAGACAACTAAACATTCCACTATAAATGAGAATGAAATGTTTCTGGAGGCCTTTTCTCTGTGTAGCAGCGCACCAATGTGACAGTCACTCCCAGGGTAGTCTTAGCCTCTTATGCTTCATTCACAGGTAGATGACGTGTCTGATATCTATTGCATGCTAAGCTGGCCACAGCTGTCAGGTTTTTGTCACTCTGATTAGCTATCCGCCCAGCCTTGTGTATGCATTTCCATGGAGAGGGTTCTATCTGTCCAATAGGAAATGCATGACTGCAAGCAGTTGTGTGCTACAAGTATATTGGAGTGAGACTGAAAAAGTTTGTTAAGTTCACGGCATAACATTTTTACAGGTTATTCAACAGTTTTATTTGAAGCATTTAGTAGCTTTTAAGTGCAATATCCTTGTGAGTTTGCTGACACTTCTGTTTCCCACAGGTTTGTTTTGGATGCAGGCAGCCCAGTTTTGAAAAATTGCTGTGCTCCAAGATGTCATCCTAAAACAGTTTGTCTATGGTTGGTTATTTTGCACGTCAGTCAAATGGCCTTTTCTATCAAAGAAGGCAGTTCTTGGCAATGTAAAGTGACACAAATGCACCAGACGACAGGGCTGGGCAATTCTAGCACAGCACTGTCAGTCCATTACTTGAAAATTTGATCCACTTTATTACTTAATAAGGGTAGATGATGAGAACAGAGTCTGACCTGACATTAATTAGGCTTGTGTTGCACTCTCCTCCCAGGGGAGATCACACAGCTGAATGCTGGGGAAGAGTTCATATCAGTAGTCCCCCCATGCCCCTCAGTATCCACTAACTACTGCTGATGAATCTGATAGATCTGTTTCAGATGTGCTGCTGGGAGTCAATGAGTTTTCTTATCTAAACAAAACACATGCGCACTGTCCAATATAGTCAATAAAATGTTTTCTGGTCTTCGATTAAGGGACTGAGTGTGTCATGAGCCATGCAGTTTTCTAAATAACTGCAGTTTAAAACTGTCAAAGTGTAAAAAAAAATCTATTGCTGCAAATAGAACTGTTTATTCAAAGTGCTGCACGTATACAATATTTATCACCAATAGTGGTCATGTTAAGTAGCCATTGTAGTAGCCAAGTGGGATCGAAATGGATTTGTGCAGCACTAATTAACTTCACCAATGAGCTTCACTCATGCACATTCCACTCCGTGAGGAGTGTTTAAAACTCAGTTTACAGTCATCCAGCGGGACAAGAGAAGACAGTTTTAGAAGGTTTTAAACGCAGCCTGATCCGTGTTGGATAGTTAGAGTTTTAGCTTTAGAATGTGACATCATTCCATAGCTTGAGCAATCAACATAAATCAAGCTTATAATGCAATGGGAAAATGCCAGGGAAATTCTTATATGTGGTGTCAGCAGCTTGCCCAATTGATTGTAGTCAGGGGTAGTCTTCGAGCTAGGCAACATTAGGCAGCTGCTTAGGGCCCCCATGAATCAAAGGCTCATGAAAATACAAATCAGAAATATGTGCTGATGTAATTTTATGTAGAGATTGTTGTATATATTTTGTGTAAAAATCTTTTATCTCCATTTTGACATTTTTGCTCAATTTGAAAATTCTAGTTAGCCTTTGCATTGTGTTAAAATTAAACAGAAATAGTCCACAATTTTTTGGAAAAAACTGTTACACTAACTTACATTACAAGTTAAGAATGAGCGTGTTTACATGCACTCAGTAATCCAATCATAATCGGATTTCGGCAGTTTTCTGATAATTCAAATGGTCATGTAAACAGTTTACTATGATCTAGAAATCCCATTAAGAAATCGGATAAAGAGAGCTGGATTTTAGCTCAATAAGCGGATTTCTCAGTGATGGATACTCTTACTCTGATTTCTTTCAGATTTCTTAGCCTGCGCATGTGCTAAACAGACCAGAAATAAGCAAGCAGTGTTGCCGCAAAATGGCAGCAAAACACTTTTGAAGCAACACTGAAACCAACTACATGCTTGACGAAATGAAGGATTAAAATATGCTTCATCATCTAGATGATGTATGTTCATATTTCCAGGTAAAGTGGCACCATTTTTTTAAAAAAGCAATGGCATCAAGTTTGAGTTTTACATTACGATTACGTCACGTCTTCTTCTGTGAGTTTATTGGCCGGTTGCAAAGCAGAAATTCGATTACAGCCTGACTCATGTAGACCCGGAGTTTTCCCACTGTCTGATTGCCTGAGTGCATGTAAATGCATTGATCGGATTACTGACACAATCTGATTTTTTTTTCAGTTATTGGATTATTAAGTGTACACTCAATGTTTCTTCTTCTCCTGTAAAGTTCCCATTTTGGAGATACAAGAGTTAGTTTCAGCAGCAGTGATATACACATGCAGTAATGTGCAAACATTTTCAGCATTTAAGAAAATTCTATTTAAAAAGCTATTTATCTTAGCAGTTTTACTATTTCCTCAGAAAAACACTAATATCAGAAAAAATACAACTGCCATTAATATAAAAAGAAGTGATTTAACATATGTTATTATTTTTGTTTAAGCATTTATAAACCTCTCCACAAGGAAGGCCAGTATTATTTGTAGTCATCGTCCAATACCTGGTTTTGCTAATTAATAATTCTTCAGGTTAATGAATTGTATGGTAATGTAATTTTATAAATCCATCTGATGTCTGGAGATGTCCAGGAGAAATCAGGAACCAAATTTGGTTGTTCTAATTAGTTCACTAGATATCAAATACTTTTTTAGAAAAAATAAATCCTAGTTACTTTTTACTGTATTAACATTCATTCTAAAATAATATGGTGGTTTTACAAGTGGAAACTCACTTACTGCCAAAATAATTGGTCAAACTTAAATGGAGTTTAACATACTAGAAAAAAGTATAAAATAGGCCACATTTAAATTATTTTTTTTTCCAATATGTTACATTCTGCAAATAACAGTCAACATGCATAAAAAATGTAATTGTAAAATTTGTTCTATGTAGAAAATATGTTAACATATTACTCAACCAGAGATGCCTTTTGTATACAATCGTGCTTCATGTCAGGAGTATTAGTGTCTTCTGCCTTTAGCCCCTCATTTCCACTCTTTCATTCGGAATTGAATGAAAGAGTGGAAATCGAACTGACATAATGGAAAGAAGTTTGAGAATCTGTCACATGAAGGCAGTAGTGTAGATACTTGGACTGAGTGGTATTACTATGTAAGGTTCTAAACCTCCACTAAAGGAGTGTGAACCGCGAATCAGAACACATAATAGAAATCAACAGCCTTATGGAAATAATTATCCAATATTGTATTTTGAATAATTTAAATAATTGCTAATGTTATGCAATTTTTTTGTTCTCTCTTTGCACATGATTTTTTTTATGGCTTCACCTTTATTTAACCATTCCTGTTTGTGTGTGCAATCATTGTAATCTATGCTTAGTTTAAAAATGTATACATATAAAAGATTGCACTTGATTATAGGCTGTACATGAAGAACATCAACTAATTCACTACACACATACATGCTTTGAAGAACACTTGGAAAGATAATCATGTACATTTTCAGTCTGGCAGAGAGAGCTGCTGTTCATGCAAATACAGGAGGTGTACTCTGTGGTGGAGAGCAAAGTGGACAATTTTGTCCAGAAGAAGGGTGCCCACATGCCAGTTAGGTAATGCTTTACTTTCCCACCAAACTACCTTGAACCACTAGATGTTATCAATCTTACTTGCTATCTGTGCAGAATATAGGCACTATTACAAATGATTTAATAATGCTTGAAACTAGCCCAGTTGGTAATGATATGGTAATTATATTAATATCATGGAAATTGAAAGACTCTCTAATGCTACAAGTGGTACTTCATATATTCATTCATTTAAATTTGGATCATCATGATATTGTTTACTGCAATCATTTTGCAGATGATAATCATTTGTCTAAATTTAAGTTATCGTCCAAGCTTTCAATGCCAGTGGACAGTTGCTTCCATTAATAATAAGCAGGGAAGCACTTTAAAAATGAGAGTCCATAACTAACCATATCACTGCTGTCACACAATAACCTTGTACCTGTTTTGTTTTTTTGCATAATTTGAAAAGTCTAGTCACCCTTTGCCTTGTGTTAAAATTTCATGATGGATGGTCCAATAGAAATGGTCCAAAATTACTTGGAACAAAATCTTATTACACTAACTTCTGCTGCAAGTTGTGAACATTTTTTTCTTGTAAAGATTCCCTTTTGGAGATATGCAGCTAAGAAAGAATTAAGAGTGTATAGCTGTGTCAGGTTTGCTTTTTCACTGTGACTATGCATTAATCACTGAAAGCTACAAGTGTGTTTCTTATTTTTGCTTTAAGATATGCTGAGTTGTTCTTATCTGGGAAAGACTGAGGGCTTCGGCCTTGAGGCCAGTACAGGGAGAAGAGGATGAGGCCTTCAGCTTCTCCTAGCACCAAATAGAGATGAGGTTGAAAATGCAAGCAAGGTGATAGCATTATAATAGAAAGAAGAGGCTCCCTTACAGTTGTAGCGTACTGAATGTCCTTCCATATGGAAGTCTCCCGGGAAAGATCGGACACCTCCAGCAAGTTGTCCACCTCAACCTCACCGATCATGTCGTGTCGGGAAAAGCGGTCAAAGTCGAAGACGCTGAGGTGGAGCTTCCTGACAGGCAGCTCTTCGTAGGGCACCGGAAACTGGAAGGACTCGTTGAAGGTGGGGTTGAGCGTCTTACGGTGGACCCGCGTCTGGAACTTCTTGCGGTCGGGCAGCAGGTAGATCTTGACATAAGGGTCCGAGCTTCCACACAGGTCCTTGGCTGGCAAGTCGAAGGCCTTGAGGATGTTGACCAGCAGCATCTCATTCTCGTAGTCGTAGCGGAGTGAGAAGTTGATCTTGCCACACGTCTTGCCACCTCCGTTCTTGGCGGACTCCTCGCTTTCCAGGGTGGCCTGCTTGTACAGCTCGGGCTTGATGCGGCCGATGCTGGTGGGCTGCTCGTCCACATCCACGTAGTCATTCCCCAGATCCAGGCTGCCAACCTGCATCTGACGGGGCAGGTGGCGTTTGAAGGAACTGTGCCTGTGGTAAGGCCGAGAGTGAGAGACAAACAGAGAGAGAGAGAGAGAGGTGAGACGTGGACAGGTGAGACTGAAACTCTGCTTTGTGATGATGTTAATGTTGTTGTGCTATCCTAGCTTTTTTCACTTTATGGGATAATAATTGTTTCTCTGAAAAGGGCCCCTTTACACTCTCAGAAAAAAAGGTATGAAACTGTCACTGAGGCAGTACTCCTTCTGCCACTGGGGTGGAACCCTGAAGGGTTCATCTCAGTACCTTGAGTCAGGGAACATAATTGTACCATAATCCATTGATATTATATTTTCTAAGGTGTCTTGACTCCACACACCCCGTCTCGTCTCCAGGCTTTTATTTTATTGTTCTATTTTAAAAGATTAGATTATGTAAAGGTACAAATATGTACTTTTCACCTGGGAAAAACTTCTATAAGGTACACAGTTGGACCTTAAAACCACCGTTGTACCTTTGAGGGTACATTTACATTGTTTGTACCTTGATGCACAGAACCCTTATTCCTAACAGTGTAGAGTGCAGACTCTGAGTTGTGTTGAATATAAAGTACAGTCCAAAAGTCAGAGATTTCAATTATATAACTTCCACTTAAAATGCCAATTAAGTACAAGTTATTTATTTTTCAGGAGGTACTTCAAATCAGGAGATACCCCCCGCGGGGTCTCAGGGGGTACTGGAGCCCAGCACTCATTGGGTGGAAAGACAGGAAACACCCTGGACAGGTACATTGGTATAAAAAAACCTAATTATTGGAGTACTCTACAAGTATTAAACATTTGGCTTCATGACCAAAATCACCTGTTTCAGGGGATCGCATTGTTTTGTGTATTTGTGCCAGTCTAATCACAGGCTACCCTCAACCAAATGTTTACCTTAATGCCAACACCACAGGCTGACCTGGTAAACAAAATCATTGTTAATATAATATATACCTGTAAAACGCATCCAAACCTTACCCTTAGCATAAAGACAACATGTTATAAATTTATCTTCAAATAACTGATGAATAAGAAAAATAAGAGCTAACATAAACCAAATCTGCTAAGAATGCATGGAAGTGCCACCTACTAAATACTAAATCCAGACTCTACTAAATTAAAAGCTGCCAGTATGAACTTCAAAAGGAGGGAACTGTTGAACTGGGATTATTTGGAGTAGCAGAATTATTGTGAGAAGCAGAAAATGCAACCAACTTCTAAGACTGAACTTTGGAGATGTGGAAAAATATCCCTCCAGATTTCTTTGTAAAACTGAATGCAAGTGTTCCAAAAAGGACAGAAGCTGTAATAAAGGCAAACAGTGCATTGTGAAAAATGATATATTTAGTTCTTGAGACTTCTGTGTAATCTTCAGTAAATTCTCATCTTTTTTTCTGATACTGTAAAAGGAATAGCTTTTACTTAATGGCCGTTTTGAGCAGAAATTAAACAAAAATGAGTGGTCTCAGACTTCTGCGTAGTATAGTAGCCAGCAGTACTGATCAACTGGGAAAGGTTCAGGCAGTAAGGGGATAGTGGGAAGAAATATTCAACAGCCACATCTTTAACACACATTAAGAAATAGTGAACAGGGAAATATAGAGAATGTGGAATGAAAGTGACATCTAATGAAACTTTAAATAATATTTCGGAGCTAAGGACCTGATATTAATGCTGGTGTGCATTCTTCTATTCAAAATTTAACAGTTACTATTAACAGCACTGTTGGCACCGCTGGTGGTGTAATTAATTTTGCTTCAATTGCTTTCCGTTGCCATTTATAATGAGCAACAGCAAAAAGATTTCACAGGCAAACTAACATGGGGGTCTTTGAGGGCAGCAGCAGGAAACTAAATCAGATGTTCTACTTTGACGTGCAAATTAAACACAGTGAACATTTTTTTTTTGGACAGAACAAGATCCAGGCTCTAATTCAGTTGCAGTAAGGATTAAGCACCTCCCAATTAACTGAACATGCACAAACAGCACTTGTTCTGGGATTATAGCCCAGTTTGGCATCAAAAGGAGTTTGTAGATACAGTAAGACTCAAAAAGAAACAGCGATTTTGTGAATTTGTTGACAATACAAGATCCTCTCATGTTTAGCTCACGTACATGTGTGGCATGTGTAACAAAATACATCATTTCAGTTGTTACGTTGCAACAAATTGACAGCAGATGAGCTAAAGACATGTTGGCTAATGACATTTTGCATCTCATTTTTAAATATTTTATAAGAAGCATTAAATTAAACTCAAATTGCAGCAATCTTACACATAGATCCTTTAAACAGGAGCCTCGAGGTGATCCAAAGTACCATTATGGGAAATTATACCGTGTAATAAAGCATACTTGCATAGATGTTTTTCTCATCCCTCTTAAGGTTTATGGTATCATCAACATCAAACTGTTCCAAATTGATGTCTTTTACGAGCAGATTATTAAATCTCGGCAGTGTAATATATGCGTCAGCAGGTCTGCTCCCAATAGCCCTTTGAACTCATCAGAATTTCAGGCACATATTAGCTTTAGAGGCCTTTTCACTGGCGGTGGCACTGCTGCGACTGCCTGCCCTGGTGAATGGTGTGGAGTAAACAGTCAATTGATGTAGGCCTCTAAATGAACTGCATCTGTGTGTGATTTTGAGGTATTCAGTTTATGGATTCCCATAAAGAGTTTGAAGAGACACTCTGGCCAAAATGAAAAATGTAACCATCTATAATCATGCCTACTCGCCATCAGTAGTCTTGAGAGTGAGATTTTCCTGTTTAAAAAACAGGAAGCCCCTCTTCTGATGATGTAACTTGAGGGTGGGAGGACTACAAGTAACTAAATCATTGATATGAATCATTTTTCACTCATTGCTCATTGAAACAACCAGTGAAAGTCTGTAAAAACAGCAGATTCTAAACTTTAAATCAGTACCTCATTTGTGTTTGGTAGAAGATAATACGTGCTTTAGAGAGGATTTTTGAGGGTGGTCTGTTTGATCTCTTTTTTAGCTAACCTTACTGCTAGAAAGCCTAATATGTCATTGCCCAGAGGAAAGAAATATTCTAAATGAGATCTCCTCTTAATCGCTTGTACTTCTCCTTATGGTAATCACCTCTTTTCTCCTAAGGGGGTTTTAGGAGAAACAATTCAGAAATCAATGATCCTTCATTAATACAATAATGAGATCTACTTTATTTCGTTGAGACAACTGGAACTGCCTAATTGTGGTACCTTTCTTTAAATCATCACAGTGGAGAGACAGGATTACTCAAAGGACAACAATGACTAGGCAGATGAATAGGAAAAGAAGCTAAAAGCTAAAGTTAGCAAGGTAGCTAGCTAATTATTTTACCTCAGGTTAGCTCATTTTCTCTGGCTGAAAGAGTAAAAAACTTGTCTCTGGGGTCCATTTGAGTTGCAAAAATGTAGAATCAGCAACCAAAGTCAGAGTTACAGTTGGTTGTATATGTTAGCTATAGATCAGTGGCTAGGCTAACAGCAGGATTAGTTGACACCACAAGGATTCCCAAGGTATTTTTGAGGATGGGCTGTTTTTTTTTAGTACTTTTTTTATTATTTATTTATTTATTTATTTATTTATTTATTTGTTAGCTAGCTGGTAATTACAGAAGAAAGTCAAATAGCTAACCTTAGCGTTAGGTAGGCAAATATCTTCGCCTAGGGAACTGATTACACAAATGACTCATCAGATGAGGAGGACAACAAGCTAAAAGATAAACTAGATAAATAGATTAACTCTAGATTTAGTCTGGAACTCCCCTTTAAACATTAGTTGTAGTTATTGCTGCCAATAACAAGCACATGCTGTTATTAGGTATGACTTATTTCTAACTCAATGCTCCTTGAAATTAGCGCTGGTATTTAAAATTTCAGAAACTTTTAATCAATACCACATTTGTGTTTGCACACAGACGATGTAGCAGGCTTTGCATACAAAATATGTATATGAATATGTTAATTTATGAATATGAATGTGTCTAGGCAGTGTGATGTGCTTTGGTACTGCATATGTATAAAGCATGTATGTGTTACCTGAGATGAAAGGCTTGGGTTGTATTCCCCATGTTCTGTCTCCATAGTCAGACACTAAATATTATAACAAGCGCATGTATGTGTGTGTTAACCTTACCACTAGGTAGGCAAATATTTTATTGCAACTGTATAAATGTGGAAATTGTTGCAAGGAGAGAACTGATTACACAAATGACAGCAATAACTCAGATGAGGAGGACAACAAGCTAAAAGATAGCAGTTAGCAGTGTAGCTGCCAGGATATCTAGATATTTCACCTCAGTTTGGCTCCTTTTTTTTGCAGGTTAAAGCTATCTAGCATTTTGTGGTGAACAGACTCAGGAACCAGGGTAAGCTTTACACCAATGTTAGCTTGGTTGTATGTATTAGCTTATAGCTTGGTGGCTAGGCTAGCAGTCAGGATTCATTGAGCACCACAGGGATTCCCAGTGGAGACTGAAACTGTAGACCTATGCCACCTGCTGGCTACATTTGAATCACCATTCATTCCTCCATAGGAAATTTTTTGATAACGGATTGAAATCCACTTAAAGCTAGAACTTTATAGAAATGGCCATTTTGCATTCATATAACCACAGTAATTATGAACACAATACAACTGCAATACAAAATGCATGCTGGGTATTGTAGTGAGAGAACTCTGATGAACAAACATAAAACAATCTAAAATAGTGAATTCTTTCAATGCAAAGAGGCTGAGGGATACAATGCCAAACTAGGGAACACTGAAATAACATGACAAAAAAATGTAACTCTAGATTTAGTCTGGAACGCCCCTTTAAACATTAGCTGTAGTTATTGCTGCCAATAACAAAAACATGCTGTTATTTGGTATGAGTTATTTCTCACTCATTGCTCCTTGAAATTAGAGCTGGAATTTACTCAAAAGTTCAGAAACTTTTAATCAATACCACATTTGTGTTCGATGTAGCAGGCTTCGCATACAAAATATGTATATGAATATGTTAATTTATGAATATGAATGTGTCTAGGCTGTGTGATGTGCTTTGGTACTGCATATGTATAAAGCATTTATGTGTTAGTTACCTGAGATGAAAGGCTTGTGTTGTATTCCCCATGTTCTGTCTCCATAGTCAGACGCTAAATATGTATAACAAGCGCACGTATGTGTGTTACCTGGTGGATGAGGCCGGCTCGGTGGTCTGTCTCTGCATGCGCTGCGTGCGCCGCAGGAAGTGCTCCCTCATGGAGAGTTGCACTTCAGCCGGAATGTCAGGCGACGTGTGGCTGATCTTCACCGCTGCCTCCAGGAAGCCCACGGGCGACAGGGACTCCTTAACCTTCTCCGCGGCCATGCCGATCAGGGGCTGCTGTGGGCTGGGCAGGAGGGAGGGTGGCTGCAGGCAGAGGCAGGTAGTAGCAGGGTTGGGATGTGATGGGACGCAAGTATTGGGAACACGTATTTAGAATACCGAATTAAAGTATCCATTTTTCAGTCCATGCTACATTTGGAAGAGGCAGTATTCAGAATACAGTTCCTTTTCACATTTTTAGGAGAATATTTTTAGAATACAACTAAACATACAATCTTTAAAAGAAACACCATCAATCTTTGTTTATTACCTTTTTTTAGATCTGCACACAGCATGTGGCAAACGGACAGCCTCCAAAGAGGAACTCAACAAATAACATTCTTGCTAAAGCCCGAGTAGATTGATAAATCAATACGATGATGAGTTATTTATCTGTGTTACTGAGCTCTGCTAAAGCCTGAGTAGACTGATAAATCAATATGATCAGTTATGAATCTCAGTGTTACTGAGCTCTGCTAAAGCCTGAGTAGACTGATAAATCAATATGATCAGTTATGAATCTCAGTGTTACTGAGCTCTGCTAAAGCCTGAGTAGACTGATGAATTATTGCGATGATCCAGTTAATTGTCTCAGATTTTCTGAGGTCTTTCAAGGGATGATTGAGCTGAAGAGTCTCCTAGGTAGTGGATATGTTCATGAGTGATTAAGTGAGAATCAGTGTTGTGCTGCACTAGTTTTTTTTGTGTGCAATTCTCGTTTTCTGTTTGATTTCCTTCTGTTCTTTTGATTACAAAACCTAGACTGCTTTGCTCTAACTCACATCTCCAACCTTCAGGCTTTAGCATTAACTTTTGCACCAAAAGGAACCCAAAAAAGAAGATTAAAGCCTAATTAGTTATGTGCATGGGTACTCAAAAGTAGTAAATAATCATAACCACTTTTCGGGTATTTCTTGTGTTTCACCAAGGGAGGGCGAGCAAAACATACAGATCAACAGTGAAATGCTGATTTTATGTTTTCACAAACCTTTTCACAGAAAGTTTTGCTTGACTTTGCAAGTAAGTACCTTATGCTTTGCTACTCCAAATCACGAGTGTTTTATGCTGCCTTCAAGTCATGTTGAAAATATAGAATTTACAAGATAAACACACACGAACACCACCACAATGACGTAATTGCTAGTGGGAAATTTTGTAATGAGCCCTGACTTTCCAAGCAAGTAGTGGAGTGTCAAGAAAAAAGCATTGTTTTCTAACGATAGTTTTATTGTAAACTGGGTTACCAAGTTGGTGTGACGTGACTAAGATGGCAGAGATAGTGTGGCCTTAAATGTAAAGAAGATGGGATGGTGTAGGGATAGTTAAAACATATTTCTCTGACAAACTAACATGTTGGCTCACTGCCCACTAGAGAGGAAAAAAACCACCTGTAGAAGATGATAAGTCCAGTGTTATACTGTAGCTGCAGTTTTAGCTCATTAGCTCATCTGAGGCAGTCTCTGTTATTTTACTTATCTGACAGGAAAACCAACCGATCTCCCCTGGCTGTTTCTTGAATAATAAAACATGTTTTGAAATGTATTCTTCTGCATGATGCTAATGTTTTTTTGCAACACCAGTGCTGTCACCTAAAAAGGTAAGCCACAGCTTAGCATTACTTCCAGCAGATTTTTCTTTTTTTTCCTTCACTGTGGTTAACTGGATATCTATGGAAGTCTGTTAGTATCTGAGATTTACTACTTAGCATTTCATTATGACTTTCTATCGTATGATAGAAATACTGTTATAATGATGAGTCTCATAGTTATGACCTGCTATTTCATAATACTGAGATTCCAGGTATTAATTATGACTTAGTTTATCATTATTATGACTTGTCTCATACTAATGATACCCTGTCTCATAATTATGAGATACTAAATCAAAATTATGATTTACTATATCCTAATTATGACTTGCTATCTTACACATCTGACTTAATATGTCATAATTATGATTTACGTTCTTACAATTATGACTTAGTATCTTATAATTACGACTTATTGTCTCATAATATGACACAGCGTCTCATAATTATGAGAAACATTTCTTATTATTGTGAGATTCTAAGTCAGGGGCATCCAATCTTATCCACAAGGGCCAGTGTGGCTGCAGGTTTTCATTGCAACAAAGTAGGAACACACCTGATCAGTTGTTTAAAGACTGAGACTGACTGATTAAATGAGTGAAATCAGGTATGCTCTTCTTGTTTTGAACGAAAACCTGTACCTATACCAGCCCTTTGTGGATAAGATTGGACACCCTTGTTCTAAGTCACTTAGAAACTTTCTCATTATTATGACATACTATGTGGACTTCTTTCAAGATGATGAACTTATATGGATATGTGAATATCAAAATAAGTCAGACTGTACATCCCAAAGCCTAATAAACCTACTCTGTGTTGATAGATGCTGGATGTACTAAGAAATTCAATTGCAGTGCTGTTGGAAAATCAACACTTGAGAAGTTGTTTTCTCATGACACTCCAGTTTTTTTTTGCTAGGCTACCTTTACTTCTTCTTGAGTCAATATTTCATCAAAGTAAACATGGGCACCACCAGTGGTGGGCTTACAGGGCCATAATGTTTTTAGCAAAGCCTCAAATCTTTTTCACTCTTGGTTCATCTCCATGTTATGATGCATGTCATTTTTACTTACTAAAGAAATGCTTCACAGCTGCTTCCCACTCAGTACACTTCACACTTCAATGTGAAGTAGCAACACTTATGCTACTTTACCCACCTCTGGCTGCAGGGAGTGGGGGCACTCGTCCGGGGAAAGAGCGGAGCCGGAGGAAATGGCCTTGTTGCGCCAAGGCACCCAGCACAGCTTCCAAGAGGCTAACGCAAGCAGCAGCAGCAGGGCTAGGCTGCACGCCACCAGCACGCCAATGGGGAGGCCAACGGTGACGTCTGAGGCTAGGCAGGAGAGACGAAACGGAAGGGAGGGCCACGCAATATGGACAAACAGATGGTAGAAACAGTGAGACAGAAGAGAGACAGGCACATTAGGTCCAGTTGAGGTCCAATGAGTCATTCAGTCATTTATCTTATTTTGTCACAGAGCTAGTCATTGACATAGACTTCATTAACACAAACTTGTAAAGCAGTGGTCCGCATCTTATTTTCTCAAGGGGCACATTCTCAACCTCGTCCCATTGGCAAGCAAAGGACCTTTGTAATTTATTGATATGTCTTTAATCACCTATAATCTATTAGCTACCATGCTAAAACTTCTCCATTGAGGCTGACCTAATAGCTAATACACTATATGGCCAAAAGTATGTGGACATTCCCTGCAAACGGGTGTATAAAATCAAGCATATAGCTATGCAATCTCCATAGACAAAACTGGCAGTAGAACAGATTGTACTGAAGAGCTCGGGGACTTTAAATGTGGGACTGTCATAGGATGGCACCTTTGAAATAAGTCAATTCCTGAAATTTTCTGCCTCGCTAGATCTACCCTGGTCAGCTGTAAGTGATAGTATTGTGAAATGGAAGCATGTAGGAGCAACAACAGCTCAGCTACAAAGTGGTAAACCACACTAACTCACAGACTGTCTCTGGACACAACACCAGCACAAGAACTGTGCATTTTGTAACATCAATAATGCATCCAAACTGCAAAGGCTTTTTTCAAATGCAAGTATATGAATGTCCAGATAAGTTTGGATATCCACATATTCAAATAGCTATGCCCATCCCTATGAAATAATGAATCTTATATCTTAGATTATATAATCCAAACATGGCTACCTTCCCATGAAATGTCTCGCCACAACCCATAAATCGGGTACAGTTGCAGGAAAATGCCTGAACATTACTGTTATATGTGCATTTACTAATATTTGCATCCATAGACAAGCATTCATTTTACAGAGCAAAGGTGGAGTTCCAGTAAGATAGGCAAGTGGCTTCATTAATCTGTATAAACTATATGGCCTAAAATATGTGGACACTAGACCATCACTCCTATATTAGCTTGTTGGACTTCCCATTCATTATTCACAAGAACGTGTTTTCACTGCGTCCAGTGGCAGCGTGCTTTACATCACTCCAGTCGATGCTTGGCATTGCACATAATGATCTTAGGCTTGTGCGCAGTTGCTTGGCCATGGAAGCCTATTTTATGAAGCTCATTTCTTGTGTTAATGTTGCTTCCAAAGGCAGTTTGGAATTCTGTAGTGAGTCAGGAAACACAGGACAGGCAATTTTTACGTGCTACGTACTCCACTCTGGGCATCTACAGTTGACCGGGGCAGAACTACCAGGGCCTAAATTTCATGAACTGACTTGCGGCAAAGGTTGCATCTAATGACAGTACCACATATAAAGTAAGTGAGACTGCATGGCCATATGCTTGATTTTACAAGCCTGTTAGCAATGGGTGGGCTGAAATACCACATATTTTGGTCATATAGCATATTTACTGTCATCAGTGATCTAACTCTCCAGTGTATCTATGGCACATACTTGCAGACCACCGCAGTAGAGAAAATGTCAGTTGCCAAAACAGAGCCTAGCTTAAAGACACCGTGATAATGCGAGCCCTCCTACACAAATACTAACACCCAAAGCTGCACACCCACATACGGTGCAGATACAAGGCAATGTAATTAAAGTTATCGCTGATACAGTATAACTATAGGCTTGTAATCTATTTTCAAAGGAAGAACAATGGCAGGGAAAGATGCTGCAATGTCATGAGTATTCCGTCTGTGAATGGCACCAGCGTATGTGGGTAGAGATGCCGGCTCAAATTCATTTTTCTCCCCGATTATACAAAGTGTGCTGGGAAAAGGGACAAGTAGAATACCATAAGCTGGAGAGATTCCAAGAGTGCTGACAAGCACAGTGCAAACATTCATTTAAAATGAAAAGGTAGAGGAGAAGTGGGGAGAGATCTGACGTCCGCATGCCGCTGGGAGCTCTAACGGCAGCGTTTTTATGAGAATACTATGAAGGCAGGGTAATTATTTTTCCTACCTGAGATGCATTATCCTGGTGAGAA